AGTTGTATGTGTGACTAATTGTATTCTTATTGATGTAACAAAGTTAAGAGGTACCTATTCGGTATTCTGATAATTGAATTGAGAAGTTAATAAACCGTGCTAGACCCCCTAGTAGTCACTTTAAAAAAAAAAAAAAAATCATTATACCTGGGATATTAGTTAAGAACTCTATTTTTAAATTCATAGATATTTTACAAAATACTATATATAAAAGATATATTATATCAAGTATTATTCAAAAATTAAACTCAATAGGTAGTAAATAATATTAAGATAGGTATTATTTTTAGAAATACAAATACAATACATATATATAGTAAGCTAATAAAAGTATAAATTTAAAATGATTGGCTAATTTGAAAAACTACTATAGTGATGGGTTGTTGTTTATAATTTTTTTTTTATTAATATTATAATTAAAGAGTTAACTAATATATAAAAATTATTAATTATTAAAAATAAATATTTTAAAAAATATTATGTTTATATTTTATTTATAAAAATTTTAATAAATAAGTTTAATTTTATAATTAATAATTTAATATAAAATTAAACAAATATATTATAATAATAAATATATATTTATAAATAAATAAATTACTAATATTTTTATATTTATAAATTAATTTAATACAAATAAATTAAATATATTAAAACTATTAAATCTAATTTCTTATTTTAATTGGTTAAATAAAAAAATTTATTTATATATATATTCATTGAATATTCATTGAATATTCATTGAAAAAATTAAATATTCAAATATTCAATTTGGTAAAAAAATTATTATTTAAATATTCAAATATTTAATAAATGTTTGAATATACTATTCATCAGATTAGACCTCTAGTTAAATATATACAATAATGTTAAAGATCATGTAATAATATATGAGATATATCAAAAATATAAAAATAAAATAGCCAAGAAACCTCTTTATATACCAGCTACTAGTTGAATATTTCATAAACTATTTATTGATTATATAGGTTTTTTGTCTAAAACAAGAAAAGTTATAAATACAGTATATAGTCATAGGTATTAAGGATCTTACAGAGTTTATTGAAACCTAATCATTAAGAAAAAAAAATGCAAAGTTTATAGCTATGTTTGTATAGAAAAATATAATAACCTATTATAAATATTTTACAGAATTGGTATCAGATCATAAAATTGAATTTAAGAATATTTTAGTGAATAAGCTTACTAGCTATTTAGGCATCTAACAATATTTTAATGCTAATTACTACTCTGAAGCCAATAGAAAGGTGAACAAACCATGCAGAAATTTATCTATATATTGAAAAAAATATATGCTGAAAAGCAAAACTGGTAGCATGAATATGTACATAAAGCTATTTAACTTTTATTTTTGTTTTATTTTAATATCTAGTTTTACAGATTTATATAACTCAAAAAACTTAAGATAAATTTTTATTTTATTAAAAATAAAAACTATTAATAGAACAAACTAACAAAACAACTAATAATAAACTTAAAAAATTATTTATTTATTTATTAAAATACAAGTTAACAAAATAAAAATAAAAATCTTATCTAGTTAGACCAACCAAAACCAACTAAAACAACTAATATTTACCAAAAATAAAGATAATAATATTTAATTAATTTTAACTAAAAATTCTTCAGGTTTTCTTTAACTTACTCTAGCTAATCAATTAATTTGTAATAATTAATTTATATAGAAAACTAGAAGATATAATGTCATATTGGATGTCTGTTATAGTAGCACAAATGTAGTTTTGAAATCTTTAAATGTAGAATTCTTTTCTATTTATTAAATAAAGTTTCAACTATGGCATTTACAAACAAAAAAAAATAAAAAGAAAAAGAAAAAAATGACAATTCTAGTTAGTAAAAATAAAAAAATTTCAAAAAAAGATAGTCTTCATGATCTTGAAATAAAAGAAACCATGCAGTTAATGGTATTAATAAAAATTTATAATACCGGGTGATATCACAACGGGTAAAAATTAGTTACATATTCTGATTATATCGTATTTTTATTAATATTTTATTGTGATTTACATACAATATATGTTACACAAATCTTTTCTACCGAATTTTCATACGTATAATACTACAAGTAAATTTGATTTACATATTGTATTTAAAATCCAGCCTACCCTGCGTGGCGTTACAGCACTATAAGAATATCAAATCGGTATAATAAATAATTGATTTTAAGGGTGATATTGATAAAGTAATTCGGGATAATCATTAGAATTACTCATAAATAAAAAAACAGCAAAAAAGCCAACTAATCTAACAATGAAGGGCCATCATTTCTTGGAGGTGGTGGTGCTGTTGGAGGCCGATATTGGGCATGATAAGGTGCTTGTTGGTAACTATGATTAGACTGCTGAAGACCAGCTGTTGGAGGATAATTTCCCTGTTGGATAGGGACTTGCGGTGAAGAATTCTGATAAAATCCTACTACAGGCTGCTGGACTTGTGATGGGATTGGATTTGTTTGATAAAGATTTTGTGGTTGTTGTGTTGGCAACATTTGAGAGGGCTGACTAAATTGTGGTCTCTGCATAGTCTGCATAGTATATTGTTGTTGTTGAACCGCAGGAACAGATGAAGAATATTGCTGTTGTACGGGAGGAATTTGAGATTGATGTAACCCAGAAGGTGGTTGAACGTAACTACTCTGTAAAGGTGATGCAAAACTGTCATAGGTCGATTGACGGTGTTGTGTTGGCGATTGGGGTAATTGTTGAGGTGGCTGTTGTTGAGAAAAACGATAATTTGTTGGTGAGTAATTAGGCTGAGATGGTAATGAAGCTCCATATATACTAGATGGCCCTGAAATAGGCGGTTGTTGTGATGTCACTGACTGGCTATTCATCTGTGAAGTTTGTGGCTGTTGTTGCTGCTGTAGATTTGTCTGTTGGGGATATTGATATTGAACACTATATGGTCGAGACAAAGGTTGTGGTGCAGGTGGTTGAGGTTGTGCGTTTATAGAATGAATAATCGGTTGAAATGAACGTTGAATATCTGAATGAAAAGGAATATGAACACTATTTTGTTGATATTCTGAAGGTAAAGGAGGAACGGGAGGGCCTTGTGTCTTTGGTGATGCTGCTTGCATTGGATATCCGATAGATGATTGAGTAACAATTCTTTGAGGAGCTTGTGAATAATATGGATTGTGAGATGTTGGTGAATTTGGTACAGCCATTGGAGGTGGTGCTGAAGTGCTAGCATACGATGGTGCTGAAGGGCTAATGTGTGGTGGCGCTGAAGGGCTAACGTGTGGTGGTGCTGAAGGGCTAACGTGTGGTGGTGCTGAAGGGCTAACGTGTGGTGGTGCTGAGGGGCTAACGTGTGGTGGTGCTGAGGGGCTAACGTGTGGTGGTGCTGAAGGGCTAAAGTGTGGTGGTGCTGAAGGACTGACATGTGGTGGTGCTGAAGGACCAACATGTGATGGTGCTGAAGGTGTAGGGTATGAATCTTGATGAATTGGTGGTAACGCAAATGACTGGACGGTGGGGGATGTGATATTGTCATAGAACGTTGAATCGTTGGTTGGAACATTTGCGGTGCTCACTTCTTGACTGGTATTGTTAGTTGTATAAATATTTGTACTAGGAACTCCAGAATTGAGTGATAATTTATTTAATTCTTCGGATAAATGCATCGCAGTATCATAAGGTGTACTTCCTGTAGTAGGTATCGTTACATTGGTCACGTTAAATTTGTTCATTTGGTTTTTTATTCGTTGTTCTTCTTGACTTTGAATCGATCGTATCAAGTCTTCTCGTTCTTGCTGGCGAGTTTTTGCGAATTGATGCACAGTTTTTGAAAGATTCTCGATCAAGTCATTAAGATCAACATAAAATTGGATCCCTTTCCTATAGTGTTAAAAGGATATTGTATTAAAAAAAAAATATTTGTAATTTCGTAAAAAATGATAAGATAATTAGTGCTGTTTTATGATACCTCAATCCATCTTTGACTTCCAAATAACTGTCCTTTGCTTTTTTCAACCGTTCGCAAACCTCTCTTTTTTTTCGTTCCGCTTGATCCCATCGATCCTGTAATGATCGCGCTTCTTCCCCTCCCACTAAGTTTTTGTAAAAAACTGTTAATTCCTCTAACAATGCTTGTTGATGATGAATGCTAGATGTTATTCGATTTCGATATGGTGAAAACTTTTCAAGCTCTGTCGCAAACAACTGTGGTTCAATGTTTTGCGTCTTTTTATTTAAAATTAGAAGGTGTGATATATCATCCTGGTGCGTCTGTTTTTTTAAAAAAAAAAAGGAAAGAAAAACAAAAATATATATGTATATTAGTCAACCACGGAAATAAGAAATTAACACTATAAAAAATGATACCTTTTCTTTCAAATCATTTAATGTATCCATTCTTTCCTTTTTAACTTTATATAGATTACTTAAACATTCTTCAACTTGATTAACCTTGGTTGGAATATCTTCTACGGGTCGTGAAACGTCCACGTCCAATAAATTTTCGCCATTACTTGATGCTTTGGTACCAAAAGAGGCCAATGCCTCGACAAACATTCTTTCTAATTCATCACTATTTTCTCCATTACTCAAAATTGTTATATCAGACATTGACTGATCATATCTTTGAAACAAGTGTCTATCTGAATTTCCAGCTTGTTCAAATCTATCACGGTGACTAAGTAAGTCTTGACGAAAAACAGTAGTAAGTGATGCAGATGGTGGCAGAGTCCATGAATCGCCATACTTTAACTATTATCCGAGTTAAGTAATGATTTCATCTAAATTAATGTTTACATAAATCAAAATATGCGATGTATATATATATTTCTTACCCGCATTGCATCAAACTCTCGTTGTTCATTTTCTAAAACTAGCGCAATGTCATCCATTAGCTCTTTTGATTGTCCTCTCAGTCCTTGTAAAGTCATTAATATATCTTTAAAGGCTCCTTTTCGTTCTTCTTCCTCTTTAATTAAATTTGCCCATTGTTTTACTTCAGGTGTCGGTGTTATAAACTCATTAAATGATCTATCATCATTATTATTTTTGAATTTTGTTAATAAACCTGGTAGTTTCATATAGTCTAAGACAGCTTCTAATTCTCCGTTCGCTAAATCACATCTTTCAGTTTCACTGCGCACTATTTTAGCTTTTTCTTCAGAATATAAAGAAGCAGATTCGTGAACTGATAGAGGAATAAGGCGTTGAAAAATATCAGCACCAATAACTTTTTGAATATCGTTTGGATTATTATAAAGCTCCTGTATTGGTATAGATTTTACAGCGATTAACTTTTCAATAGGTGGAATGACACTTTCTTGTGGAACAGTATCATGATAAACAATATCATTGTCTTTTGTTGCAGAATTTTTTTTCTCGGTAATAAGAGCTAGATTTGATTTTGTGAGATCTTGTAAAGAGATAGCAGCGTCAGGAGGAAGAGTTGGTGAATTTGTTGGAGAAAAGGAAGAAACAAAACTATTGGATGATTTGTTGGCATCTTTAGCAAAAGTTTCAGCCATATTAAGACGACCAACGCATTCACCATATTTGCCTTCCTCTTCACAAGCCAGAGCTTTTTGATATTGTGCAATTGACATGTGATATTTATGTTTAATTTGACAAACGGTTAACCAACTTCGATCAAATACGCTTTTTGTAACCAGATCGTTCATATTTTCGACAATATTGCCATAAGACCATCCAGTTTGAGAAGCTAATTTAGCAATAAGAGCAGGCTTCTTTTTTCCACTTATACTTTGTTCAAGAAAAGTCTCTTGAGCTTGCGTTAACATTAATTGAGAGAGTAACTTTACAGCATCTCGACTTAAGTCAGTTGAAGGAGCATGTAAAAAATTGTCATTGATATAATTATACATTCCAGCAGCAGCTTGAAAGAAATTGAATGCACGTTTAACACCATCAGTCTCAGACCGATTTTGATAAGCAGCGATAGCAGATAGGGTGGAAGCTATGTTGAATATTGTACATGCTTTTTCATACGCAAGTGAAAATTGAGAAGTTGCTTTATGAGTGAAAGCATCGTACCTTATGCGGCGTAAATTCAATAAACAAGTTATCAATGGTTTAAGAAATAAAAGTATACAGTTAAATTGATATAAAATTCATGGAAATAAAAATACCATGTGAAAGAGACTCTAATGTGGTTTTCGTCGACAGGAAATCTCAATTCAAGTAGTTCTAATTGTCCATAATAACGATACATTAAATCCCTGCCAGTTAAGTCTTTCCCAGCACCTCTCATGTCTTGTCTAAGGCGATGGATAGTGTTAGCTTCCTCAGCATATTTTTCTGGATCCTCTTGATACATTGTCTGAATATAACGTTTCAAAGGATTTGCCCAGTCGACTTCGTCAGTCCTTTTTGTTGGCACGTATATCGTTGGACTTTGATTCATGCTGTTGTTATATACTAAAATTGGTTTAAAATTTGTTAAAAATATTCTGGCACGTATGTCCACGAATTTTGAAATTCAAATCGCTTAAATTCCACTGGAATAACGATAGGCTTTGCATCTTATAGAATCTAAGTGCTATGTGTGATTGGCTAATTTAAGTTTAAATCTGCGCCTTTGTGTCAATGACGACAGATCAACTGCTTTATGGAATTATCCATAGGAAATTATACAAATTATGCGTTTCCTCGACGGTCATTCCATTTACCCGTCGTCACACTAAGTGACAATTTACTAGCAATATATATCTGCAACTAATAAAATTCCAAAATGTCGCTCCTCTGTATAATGTCGGAAATGAACTTATGTGAATTGGATAAGGTTCAGGTAGTAGTAATAATCAAAATACCTTCTAGCCAAAAAATTTTACAAGGAATTTATTTTATTAGGACGAAAATGACAAAATTCTGAGATTTTTATAAATCAATTTCTTTTGACGAAATTGCCATCTTCAAATACGCACAAATCCAATACATTTTTACATAGCCTAAATGACAACCAAATTGAAAAAAATGCTCTATAGCTAATCCTCACAATCTTATCCATAATTTCCATAATTGCTAACCTAACCTCTAAACCACTATCAAAGTTTTATCGTTATCAAGTATCGAGAATGCCTTTGACTTAGAACTCTATATTACGTCACGAGCTTTCTAGGTAGGTGTTATGAAACTTATTAAAATATTTCGCTGAGCTTACTTAGTACCGAAATTTATGGTGGGGAACCTTTCAAGATCAAGTGCCTACACATAAATACAATCACGATTAAAGTATTTTTCTTTCTAACTCATTATGACAGTTGCATCAGTGAATAAAAATAAATGAAACAATCTTGGTTTTTGATTGCAATTTTTTCATGAAATAATTTGAAACAATAATTGGATCCCATTTCTCAAATATTTATTGAAAATAATTCTTTTGCTATGTATAGCCAATAAAATTTTCATCATACAAACTCTATTTATTAACATATCCGATCCTATTATTTCTCTATTTACACTACTCTATTTAATCTTTTGTACATTATTGGTCTGGAAAAACATGGCCGCCACGAAGGTTATATAAGTCACTCAGTAATGATTGTTCCTAGGATACTTAGTTTCAGCTAAAAAAAAAAATTAGCTTACTTGTCCCGGTCACCACGTAGAGGTGTATCCCATGACTAGGTTTAAAACAAACACTCAAGAAAAACTCAATCCGACCTAGAGTTAGGCACTAGCAGAAGGGATAAAATAAAACTATAAAATACATGTCGACGTTAACTATAGGAATAGCAGAAAAATATTATTAAAAAATAAATCATTCCATCCTTGGGAGCGCGATAGAACTCGGATAAAGCGAGCTGCGCCGGTCTTACTCTCGCAACCAAACCCACAAAAAAAAAGTAAAACTCATGTCTTTGTGGGTTAGTAATATTTTTCTGCTACCAACTGTAGATAACGGAGTAATGAGTTAAACCGAAAATGGAAACCCCTTTTACGTATTTTCAGCCAACATTTACACTTGTAAAAATAAATCAAGGATAATATACAATTATGCGTTACGTGCCTTAAAATTTAATTCTAACGCTCTAAATTGATCAATCAGAATACAAAAACAACGCCAAAAAATTCATGTGATTTTAGCATTCTAAATTGACCAATCTGAATGCAGAATTGCACGAAATAAGATAAATTATCGAAATAATTGAGACCTACCACGTGTAGTATGTAAAATATATTGGGGACCTTATGGGACACAGTAATTACTATCGCTATGTTCTATGAAGTCATTTTAAGGCAAAAACCCCATATATATTCTGAATTTTCATGTATACTCAACTAAGTCAATTTTTTAAAAAATCGGCCTAGTCGCTAAAACAAAATCAATTTCAATCAGTTATGCAAACTTTTTATGCCAGAAACCTTAGATACATGCGTTTGAGAAGTAACGATAGCTAAAATGGTCTCAATTAATATGAATTTCTATTGTTTTCTTAGTACAATATTCTGTCAAAAATATTAAAATGTCAAGTTTCATGAATAAGCAACTTAAAAAAATATTTGTATGATAAAATTCATATAAACACCATAGCACCGAAGCATTTGATACGTGAATAATTTTAGTTGCTAAGATGTGGCTTTTGGTTCTTTCTAGCTTCATAGCATGAAAAAAAAAACCAACACAAATCTAATTTTGTTGTATCAAATTTCAGAGTTTGGAATCAGACATATTCTTCATATGCTAAAATCAGTTTTAATAGGTTTCAACACATGAAAAATAAAACCGGTTCAAAACTCCAGTTTTAATAGGTTTCAACACATGAAAAATAAAACCGGTTCAAAACTCCAGTAACAATAAAAGGTACCGTATTGATTACTATCTGTTTAATTACGTACATTCATTTATTAAATCAAATATCACAATAAAACATTTAATTTAAACATATAACTGGATGAACATTTACTTATAAATCCGATTCTTATAAATCCGATTAAAGAAACATAGTATAGGAAATCCACTTAAATATCTAGGACACCAGTACTAATTGTAATCATTGACGTTTTTTGGTAGATTTGCCTCGCCCACTTCCACCACCGCCACCACGACCTCTAGAAC